TATTATTTAATGTAAATAATTACCCTATTTATTGGAGCACAGACACAATTAATTACTGCTCTTAATGCAGCTCGTTGTACATCAGGATCTGCAATAATTTCACATTCTGCTGCAGCTAAGAGTAAGTTAATTGCCATTGTCATTGACATATCAGGCATGTCTACTCTTTCACAAAGTAACAACATCACTTTTGGCACTACAGAACAAATAGCTATTACATCTAAACAAGAGCGAACTGTTTCTGCACTGGAAGTTGTATGAACCCTGCCACTATAATTCCATTCCCTAGCAAAGGCAATAATTTGAAGAAGAAGTGTTATGCCTCCAAGACGATATAATTCTTCTACTGGTGGCCATACTGCTCTCACAGACATTAATTCTTGAAGGATTTCTACCTATAAGTTTATTAAAAATAAAATTATTTAAATATTAAATAATAGTAATACAATAATCATTTGATTATTCAATTTAAAAAAATAAGAGAAAAAGAGAAATAATAATTAGAATTAAGAAAATTATTGCATTTTATTTTTTAGGCTAATAGATATAAATATATTGTAATATTGTTTTTAAGATATAATATATGCATATATTTTGTATATATTTAAAAAATGTTATTTATTGTGTTGAATTTTTAAAAGAAATATGAATAGGAGTATGGCGACAATACAATTCAATTATATTTTAAAAACTTTTACTTTTATTTTCACAAGAATAAAATTAGTTACACAATCACTTTTTCTTTTGACCAAGAATTTGCATAATACAAGAATTGAATATTGAAAAATTTTATATTTTTATATTTATATTTTTCTATATTTCCTGAATTATGATATTTCAATAATGTTTTAGTATTACATAATTATAATTTTTCAAATAATATAAAATAATTCATTAAAATAAATAAATAATAAACTTTATACATATTTTTAAATTTATATTTTAAATTAATTTAATATCTTTACCTTTGCTTGAACTTCTTCACTGCTTAATTTTACAGCTTTATAAGGAGGTAATGATGGTTGCCATGTGTCACGCTCTGCTCTAACATTTTCTGCTCTTTGTAATTGCTCTGTTTTAAGATGTAAATGTGCTTCCATGTATCGTTTTAAAGCTACTGCAACATGTCTAACTATTTGTCTAGAAGCACATTCTTCATCATCATTTAATGCTGGCTCCTCCTCTATATTTAAAATTGGTAATGTGGATATCTTAAAAAATATATATATGTATATCAACAATTAGAAAATTTATTATTAAAAAATTATAGCATTTTAAAGTAACACTTACAACATTAAAAAGTTTTCGAAGTCCATCCTGTGCATCAAATTCTTCAAGTATTACTTTAAATGGAAAAGAAAATCCAAAAAACATTGTAGCATGACATCTTCCAGAGTCATGACTTCGTTCTAATAACCATAACGCATAGGTAACAAGATCTGAAATAACATGCTTTGGCAATAGACATACTCTTTCCATTGCATCTTCACAATATGCTAAATAATATAAACAAATAGAAACTCCAGTAGCTGCAACACTGGGCCTTGGAACATCTAACAGTTTTTGTAAACCTCCAACATTAAGAAATTCAATAGAAAATTTTTTATGACAAAGAAGAGAAGCTAAATATTTTAAAGCTTCAAAAGCTAAGCGACTGTCTTTTGTTTCTTTGACATTAATATACTTGAGAATCAATTCCAAAGCATTTTGTTCAAATACATGACCTAAAAATTCTTGATATTCACCCATTGGTGTGAGATACCTGTTAATATAAAATAAAAATAAAAATTTCATAAATATTTGAAATTAATATTTTTACCTTAATATTAACATTTGTCTTGTAGCTAATGTTGGAGGATGCATTTGTACATTCCCAATAACATATGATTCCATCTCTGCCCATGAAGAATTAGAATTTCCTTCTAATAATGTAGATAATGTAGTGGAACTTTGCATTGAAGATGAAGAATTTTTTTGCAAATTACATCGCACAGAAGAAGTATTTAATGATCTATTATGTGCGTTTTGTGCCTTGGATGATGTTATTTGATTATTAAAATTGGAATTTTTTGGCACAGATAAAGGTGGAGACATTATTTCTGGATATATAATATTATTTTTTACAGGAGTTTCACATTCTGCATCACTTTTCTTTTTTTTAGGTAAAGGAGCAGAATCTTCAGAAGATCTTGCACAGTCTTCTTCTTCAGAAAAATAATTACTATGATTTGAATTCTTAAGAATTTCATTTTCTTTTCGTTTTTCTCTCACCTATGAATAAAATTTTTTTTTTTGTAATATTATAATATTCATGATATTTAATACTTTTAAAATGGTATGTATATTGCTAAATATTATTATATACATAAAATTCTTATTACTTTTCTTTTCCCAGGTACACCTTTATTTTCTCCATCTCCTCCACTATTTCTATCTTGACCAAAATGTGCAAATGGTCTATTATTAACTGCAAGTTGTCTTTCTTCCTGAGCTTCTTCTTGCAATTTATGAAGTCTTTGTAACATTAAAGGTACCATTTTTGCATTCTGTTCTCTAAATCCTTTAATAAAAAAAAAAAAAAAAAATCACTTTTTTTAATTCTATATTTTAAATAAGAAATATTTTTTATTTAAACTTTATTTAAAGTTAATTAAAACCTGTAGCAATTTCTTGAACTTCCATTGCAGCAGCTACAAGCCCAGTTGCATAACTTTGTAAGGGTTCCACACTTTTTTCTGCCCAAGAAAACAAACGATGAATGAGTCCTTCCATATCTGGTTGAAATACTGCAGAAGTTTCTAAGCCAGGAAGAATATCAAGCATAAGACGACAAGCTGCAATATTGAGTTTTCTAACATCACGACCCGTAATACCCGCACGAGACCAATAAGTGTCTCTTAAGTAATCATTTATAAGCTGTTAAAATTAAATAATATATTATATAATAATTTTTCATATTATAAAAATTTATAATTATTATTTTTTAATTTAATATTTTAAGACCTACTTTAGTCATAAAATTATCTTTTCTAAATAAAACTTTCAATATATGTCCAAAATTGCATTCTGGATCTGTGCGTGATGGATGTCTTTCATCAAATGGATCTGGATCCATTTTTAAATAATTTTCTGTTTCTAATTCTATAATTTCTGCCAGTCTTCGTAATGTTGGAACTGGATCATATGTAGATGATGAATGTTCCTCTTCCCATTGTCTAAGAATTTGAACTACATCCGTTACTTCTGCTAATGATTCTGCACTTGACATCTTTGACTATCTATTATCCTATAAAATAATTTTAATTAAGTTTATAATTAAATTTCAAAAAAATATTAAAAATATTAATTTATCATTAAAATTTTCAAATCATTTATATCCTGAAATTTCTTAATGTTATAATTATAATAGATTTATCATATGATTTATGATAACACACCTTTACTTTCACATTTAATAATGTATTAATTCTAAAAGATTTCAATTGATGAAACCTTAATACATTTACAAATAATAATTTTGTATATATTAATATAATACATAATGAAAATATATCTATACATTAATTAAAAAATATATAACTCTTCTTTTTTTCTAGATTCATATATCAATGAGAATATAATGAAATAGAATCAAAATTCTATTTTTATTAGTTTTAATTATTTATTATTTTCACTATAAACTTTTAATATTTAATTCTTTCATGAATTAAAATTAAAACAAGCTACCATTAATAGAAATTAAATGTTAATTAAACAAGATATTAAAATAATTAAATGTTAATTAAATAAGATATTATTACTTAAATAATCATCAACAAAAATCGTTTAAAATATGATTAAATTTTTAACTAATTTTTGTAACTGACTTTAAATTTAAAAAAAAATTTAATTTACATTATTTTTTTTACAAAAAAATCAATTATTAAAATAATTTAATTATATAATTAATTATGATGCTTATTTAACATTTTAATGTTCTTAAATAATTGTTCATTAAATTTGAAAACTAATAACTTAACCTTAAAATAAAATGTACAATAAACAAAGATCAAAGTTTTGAAACAAAACGTACAAGAGACCAATAAGACATTAATTATCGAAAACAATTGAAAAGATTATAAAATAGCAAAATACCGATAAAAACAGTTTGTTGACGTTTTTTGAAAATCAAATCAAAATCAAAAGAAGCATGTGTGTTATTAGGTTAAATTCAATAAAATATTACCTTTTTAAAATTTATTTGACAGTTTATTCGTTTAATAATTATCACGACTTATGTTACTTTTTTAAATAAATTATGTTGTTAAATTGTAATAATATGAAAAATTTCAATTAAGAATAATGTTTTCTTATAAAAGTACGAAACGCAACCACCCACACGCACGCTGAAGACGGACTAGGTAATTCAACTTTTAAAATATATTGAAATGTCTGAATAAAGAAAAATTTTTTAAATTTATATGTTGGTTTTATAGATTAATTTTTTTTTATAAATTTCATTATATTTTTTATTGTATCATTTTATTGTATGAAGAAAATATTTAATATATTTATGATAAAGTAATATTTTTCAATAACAGTTTTTTATTAAATATTATATCGCTTTACCGCTTATAGCTTTAGCAAAAATAATTTTAATTGAAAAATATTAAATAAAATATTTTTTCATAAATAATTTTAAATTAATCAAATATAGTCTATTAATTTTTATTAGTTGAATATAGTTATTTAAAAAGTCAAATTTATTTTTTTAATATTCTTAAGATTTCAATAAAAAAAATATTATATTTAAATTAATAGTACAAATCAAATATACATATATATTTTTACATATGAAATATATATATTATATTACATTTGTAAATAAATATTTTTTTTAAATTATTTTAAAACAAATTTAAATTTTTATTTGTTTGAGAACACACACGCATTCCATAAAATATATTTCAACTTAATAAATCATTTTTATGAACACACTACTGTGTCATATGATCGTCATTAACTGGAAATACTTTCATCAGTAGGCGTTAACTCTTTGAAAAATTCGATTATATACCTAAAAATAATTATAAAATTCATCATTTATAGAAACTTGACAAATTCTTAAATTTCAAAATGGCATTAAGCGATGCAGATGTACAAAAACAGGTAAAAAATTATTTAAAATAAAATATATAATTTCCATTCAGCATTGATTTAAGCTATTTTTACATATTCTATGTATTGTTACTTTGATGAAATATTTATTTTTATTATTATCAGATTTTTATTCTTGTAATTTTTCGTCTTTTTGATAAAAAAAAAATAATTTAAATAATGATGATATTGATATATAAATTTTTATCATTTATAAATGATTCATAATTAAAAAATAAAATTAAAAGATAATTTATATAACTTTGAAAAAACTAATTAAATAATTTTTTTATATATTATAATGAATATATTTTTTATTTAAATCTTTCTAATTTATCTTTATTTTTTATCTTTTTTGAAAAAGATATGAGATACATATATTAAATTGTTTTAACTATATTCATTTAAAGATAATAATTTAAGTAAAAATTTGTTTATGTCTTTTTGTTTATTAATTTATTTAAATTTTGATAGAAAAAATATTTTTTCTTAAACTAAAATCTTAAAAAAGTAAGTAGTTAATTTATAAAATAAAAAATTATTTAATTAGTTTTTTTTGTAATATGATTTATTATTTCTAAAAATTAATTTTATATAGAAGAAAAAAAATGTTACATCTTATATAGAAGAAACATTAATTTTAGTAAAATTATTTTTAAATTTATTAATATTTATAATATTAATATTTATAGATTTATATTTTTATGAAAAATGAAAAAAAATATAGTTCTTAATAATTTTATATTTTATTAATTAAATTCTTGATTTATTATATATATTATATTTCTATATTATATTTTGATCATTATATTTTTAGATTAATCATATGATGGCATTCATCGAACAAGAAGCCAATGAAAAAGCAGAAGAAATTGATGCTAAAGCAGAAGAAGAATTTAATATTGAAAAAGGACGTTTAGTTCAACAACAAAGACTTAAAATTATGGAATATTATGAGAAGAAAGAAAAACAAGTAGAACTTCAAAAAAAAATGTATATTTAAAACAATTTTGAATATTGTGCAAATGTTTATATAAAATCTTATAATTTAATGAAATTTTTCTTATGTTTTATTTCATATAGAGTTTATGTTTTATTTTATATAATAATTTAATTTTCTTTATTTACAGTCAATCATCCAATATGTTGAATCAAGCTCGTCTAAAAGTTCTAAAAGTTAGAGAAGACCATGTACGCAATGTATTAGATGAAGCTAGGAAAAGATTAGGAGAAGTAACAAGAGATATTTCACGATATAGAGAAATTTTAAAATTATTGATTGTACAAGGATTATGCCAGGTACAAAGCTATTTAATTTTAATGATTATTCAATAAATTTAATGTATTTTATTATATTATTTATTTTTTTACTTTATACAAAAAAAATTGAACTTTTATGAAATTGAATAGTTTATGAAATATATTTTCATATATTTTTATTAATTTGTAGTTAACAGAAAATCATGTTACTATTCGTGTACGTCAAGTAGATCTTCCTTTAGTAGAATCACTTCTTGATTCTGTTCAAAGTGCTTATAAACAAATAATAAAAAAAGATGTCATGATTAAAGTTGATCAAGATAATTTTCTTTCTTCTGATAGTTGTGGTGGTGTTGATTTATTTGCAGCTAAAGGTATTTTTATATATATAGATATATACATATATTAATAAATTATGTTAATATAAATACATATATTAATAATTATGTTAATAAAATAAGTTATATTACATTATTATGCATTATAAAAAAAGTAAAATTTATTTTCTTTATTATAATTTATATTTATAATTTCTAAAATAATTAAAATTAAGTAATTAATTAATTTATTTATTTTTAGGACGTATAAAAGTTAGCAACACCTTGGAAACACGATTAGAATTAATAGCACAACAACTAATACCGGATATACGTTCTGCTCTATTTGGATGCAATCCTAATCGCAAATTCATTGATTAAAAAATTCCTTTCATATTTTCTTTTTCTCTTCTTTTCATTCTATTTTCCTTTCTAACAAAACATTCCCTTATTTAGAACGCTAAAATCACTAAAAATTTGTTGTGTAGAATGTAGAATTTGTTGTTGATATTGTGAAAAGAGAGAGAAAGTGAAATTGTAAATTATAAATATATATATAATATATATATATATATATATACATACATACACCACATATATGTGTGTGTAAAAACGCGTACGACACACACGTTCAATATACATATATCTATAAAATATTTTATGTGAAAATAATTGTAAATTTTTTAAAAATGTTCCTTAAAAGTCAATTTCCTTTTTTTTTTTTTTTTTTTTTTTTTACTTTAATTAAGTTAATTATTTTTTATTGTAATTTTTATCTACTTATGGTAAGTACAACTTCTTAATTAAAAAAAAAATTTTAAACTCATTTCGAGTGAGTTTATCTATTTTTTTAACGAATTTTTTAGAAATTAAAATTTTCTATGCGAGTATATAATGTAATAATAAATAACTATATTACTTTTTAATATTTAATTTTTTCAGTATAATAAGTAAAATAATATTTATTGAAATACCCATTTTATTATAAATAAAAATTTAAATAAAAACTCATACAAATTTAATAATAAAATACATAAAATAAATTACAGTATGAATACAAATACTATATAATACATGTATATTAGTTTATTATCACATCTATAAAATAATAAATTAATTTCATATATATTAATATTTTAATTTTATGCATAATTTATATATGTATTTTAAATTTAATAGTTAATTTAAAAAAATTTTTTATTTTTCAAAATATGATTATTTCAGAATTTACATATTTTTTAATTTTTTCAAATTTCTATTTCTAATTTATATTAAAAATACTAAATTAAAAATCATGAAATAATCTATAAAATAAAATAAAAAATTTATCGGCAAATATTCTTTTATATGTATTTTAAATTGTTTATTGCTAAACAATTTCTGTATATTTGAAAATAGATTTTAAATTATTATTGTTAAAACTTATAAAAATTAATAAAATTATCAAACTAATTTGTCTATGCTTCATTTTCAATATTTTTATTATTTTTAATAGTTTTTGAATCAGTATTATTATAGTTTTCATTTATTAAAGATTTTTCTTCATTTAGATGGATTACTTCATTATTTTTTTTCACTTTCTTCAATTGTCCTATAACTTTAATGTAATTGTAAGGAATAAGACCAATATTTACACTATCACTGACTTTACACCATCCTGGTAAATTTTTTGGTTGTAGATTTCTAGGCGCAAGATAAACTTTTTGACCAGCTTTTATATTGAGTTCATTGTTATTGGCTGCAATAAAATCATGTAGCACTGTTGCAATATATGCAGGTTCCTCAATCTGATGCCATTCTTTTGGATCTTTTCCTAAAAATTATATTTATGAAATTTAAAACAATTATTAAAAATATAACTATTTAACTATATAATTACACATTCTATATTTTAATACCTTTCATTTGCATGTTTTTAATATTATATGAAATTTTATGAATTATATATGGTACTACAAAAAATATATTAAATATTATAAATCCAGACCAAAAAGAAGAATTATGAACATTTTCACCTTCAATTTTTGTTAATGATTTACTCCATAATTCTTCATTTATTAAATCTTGATTTTTAGAACCTAAAAAAATAATAATAAATTTATTATTTATAATAGAATATAGTTAATATAATATTTAATAATTTTTCATTATAAGTATAAAAATTCTAAATTCATGTAATATTAATAAATCTTACCAATAGTATATATAATCTTTTTATATAACCATTTTAAAAATTTAATTAAAGCAAATGTGCTAAATAACTGATTTAAAGTTGATCGTAATTTTTCAATATTTTCTGCAACATTTAAAATTGCTCTAAATGAATTTGTTAAAGCAAAATATGTAGATTCTAAAAGCATTGTCATAGATGAAAATGTATGAAGAATTGTTTCGATTAAATGGAATGTTGGTCTAGTATTTTCTTCAACATAATGAAAAAATCTGTAAAAATAATTAAAAATAATATTACTAATATATATAAACTATCTCAATCATACATATATTTTATTTATTTCTATATATAATTTAACTACAAATATTATTTGTCAGATTCATAAATTCATAATTACATCTCACAAAATTTTAGATTTAATTGAAATTATTATAAAAATCATTTTATTAATAGATATTTTAATAAAGAATTATTAAAAGATATATTTTAAAAAAATTATATATGAAAATAAAGAAACATATATATATATATTTAATTATAATATTAATTATAATATATATTTAATAATAATATATAATAATTATATATATTTATATATAAAATTATTTTGAATAACTTAAAATAACATAATAAATAACTTAAAATATATTGATATTGTTTTTAAATTATTTTTAAAAACATGAGCATACCTATTTTCAGCATCAGTACTATGTCCACCAAATATTCCATAATTATTATAATTAGAATATATTGGATTATATGAACTTCCATTAAATCCTCTATATTGATTATTGTAATTCAAACCATATCCATTATAATAATTTGGTCCAAACAATCTATCATTAAATCCATAATAATTTTGAACTGGTTGACGTGGAGGTACAGGTGGAGGATTTCCCGATTGAATATTTGAAACAGGAAATTGTGATAATGCATTTGGTAAACTGCAATGAAATCATTTTATAAAATATTATTATTATTTAAAAGAAAAAATTTATTATTAATTTTATTATTAAAGAAATTTATTTTTAATAATTTTATTTATTAATAAAGAAAAATTATTTAAATTCTTTAATTTTTTATTATTATAAATTGTTTTTGAATTAAAAATTGAATTGAAATCTAAAAAATAATTTTTACTAATTTTTTTATAAAATAATTTTTATTAATTTTCTTAATGAAATATCAAGTTTTTATCGATAAATCTTAGATTATAGATATTTTTTTTAAATTGTTTATTATCAATTTGTTATAAATATATAATTACAATATTTGTAATATTGTATTAATTGAAATCTTTTTTTAATAAAACTAATACCTTGTTATGATGTTAGGTACATTTTTTAATTGATTCCCATTATTATCATTCATTCTTTCAGGCGCCATACTTTATGATAATTTGCTTATCATTTTCTTAGTAGTGTAACTTATTGTACAAAGTTCATAACCTTTTTATATATAAAAATGTCATTTGTATATAGTATATATATTTAACATAGAAATATGTATAAACACATTTTTTGATAATTGTATTATCTTGTTATCACGTGACTTTAAGGTAAACAATATCGACATGTTAATTGAGAGCGAAATTCAAATTGCATGTATATACATGAAATGCGAAACAAGCGAGTAATAGTAGTAAAAACAAAATTAAAATTCACAAATAAAAAAATCCTTATTGAAGATTTTAAATTTAATCATTACTATTGCAATAAATTAAAAATTCAATAAATCAATAATCCTTAAGACATTTTTGAAAGAATTTCTGAAAGAAAATGCAACTTTAGTCTATTAAACAAACAACTATAATATAACAAATAATAATATTAAAGCTATATTTTCACGCAACTCTTAGACCATATATATTTATATCAAATAATTGGCTTAAAACAAAGATAAAATTATTTGCATGACATCACACATAGGCATAAGTTTTTGTTTTTACTTTTAAAGTAATATATAAATATTTATGAAATACAATTTAAAATCTGAAATATATATTTTATTTTATTAATTGTTAATTACATATATATATTTTAACAAATTATAATTTCAAAATAATTAAATTTTAATTTTGAAATATTAATATTCAATCTATAATTCTTTCCTTATAATTTATTTTTTTTTTTTAAATTAAGTAAGAATAATATAGACATCTACAGAAAAATTATATGTTTATAGTTTATATGTTCATAGTTATTGCAAAATAAAATAAATTTATTTCTTATCTTATTATGATTTATTAATAAATTATTTTCCTTATAATATAGCATTATAATAATGAAAATTTATTTTATTTAAATGATTTTAATTAAATGTATATGATTAAATTTTATATTGCATTGTGATATTCAAAATTAATGAAAAAACATTGTTTATAATTTTTACAATTAATTCATATAATATATATATATATATTATATATTATATTATATATAATTATTATATATAACATATATTATATATTATATATATTATATTTTACATATTTTACATAAATTACATAAGTTACATAAGTTTATGATTTAAAGTATTAAATCAAATTAAGAAAAAAATAGAGAAAAATTAGATAGTAAAGCAGAAAAATGAATCTGACATCAAATTTTACATTGTTAATACCCTTTTCAGCAATATTGTTTAACATCATTATTTATTCTTTTATCTTCATTTTTCTTATTATTATTTTCTTCCATTCTTCCCATAGAAAATTTTCTTGATAAGTTTATATATTTTATATATTAATATATTCATGATATTTTTGAAATTTGAAAGGTCAATTCAAAGGTCAAAACAATTATAAAGTATATAAAAATATTGGTTAAGACATATTTATTAAATTAAATAATTTGCATTAGATGCATTAGATGAAGCAAGACGAAAATAAATCGCTTTTTCATTGCTATATTTTTGTCTTTCTTATTTAATTTAAATTAACTTAATAAATAATCTTCAATTAACATTTTATATACCAACTTTTGTGTTTTTTTTAGAATCGATCTTTTAAATGATTCACAAATATATCAATATATTATATATTATAATGCAAATAAAACTTATTGTTAAAAATAAAAAGAGAAATAAAGTCATATTGTTTTAAGCATAATTATATAAATATACAAAGATTAAAATATTTTTTCTTTCATTTCTATCTCTAAGTTTCATTACTATATTTTCCACTCTTTTCATGATTAGACTTTTCCCGGCAATCCTGAACCTAACTTTGTTTTAGAAAAACCGGCGATCAAGATAGAATATAGAAATAAGAATTTTTATTTGTTAAATACAAAACAATGTCTAGTTTTGTAAAATTTATCGAAGAAAATATACTTTATGAAATCTTAGCCATATCATGGCTTTTGTTTCTTTGGAAATTTTATTTAGATCTTCGTCAGGTATTATACATTTTTCTAATAACCTATTTTTTCTAATAACTTAAATTTTTAAATTAATGTAATTTTTAATTTAAATATTTATTTTATAATTTTACTTTAATATGAAAATAAAATTTCTTAATATATAGATTAATTATTATATACTATTTTTATTTTTTATTTTATACTATATTATTTTTTATTTTAATGATTTCTCAATCCTGAATTGAATATTAAAGAAACTACTAAAACTATTTACAACGTTAATTATTTAATGTCGTAATAAATTGAAAAAGAAATTATTTGTTTATAAATAATATATAATAAATTTTATTATTATTATTAAATAATTATAAAATTTAATAATAATAATTATTAAAATTTATAATAATAATATATATAATAATATATAATGACTTTTTTTTAGCGTGTTTTTATGATGCGTTTAACCAATTTACCTAAATCTCTTGAAGGTTTAATGACAAAAGATGTTTATAATAAAGCACATAATTATTTATTAGATAGATTAAAGTTTGATAGTTTTGAAAGTATATATTCTGAACTTTGTACTATGGTATGAAATTTTTATTTAATTATATGATATATATTTTTAATTATTAATTTTTACTTAATTATATAAAATATATTATAATATTTAAAAAAAAATTATATAATTCCTATAATATTATATATATTTGAATATTTATAGATATTCTTATTAACTTTATGTTATCATCGATTTTGGTTATGGAGCATTAATTTAGTTAAATATTTTGGCTTTAATGATGAAAATGAAATTCTCTTGAGTGGTATTTGTATGTTCATTTTAAGTACTATTAATGATATAATATTTTTACCATTTAAAGTTTATTTTACATTTGTTGTGGAACAAGCCTATGGATTTAACAAAGAGGTAAGAAAATAAAAATTTTAATATTAAATAATGTTTTTTTATCTTGTTAATTTAATATTATAAATTTTAGACACCATTATTCTTTGCCAAAGATCAGCTTCTTAAATTCATTGTACATCAAATAATTGTAGTACCTCTTTTATGTGCTGTAATATGGATTATAAAGAGTGGAGGAGAGTATTGCTTTTTTTATCTTTGGATATTTTTAATAGTTGCTGCACTTTTTCTTATGATCATTTATCCAGAAGTAATTGCACCAATCTTTGATAAATATACACCTCTTCCAAATGGAGATTTGAAAACAAAAATTGAAGCATTAGCAGCATCAATTAATTATCCTCTTTATAAAATATTTATTGTTGAAAATTCAAAAAGATCTTCACATAGCAATGCATATCTCTATGGTTTTTATAAACATAAAAGAATTGTTTTATATGATACTTTAGTAAAAGAATATTTTAAACCAGCAAAAAATGAAGCAGATATAAAAGGATGTAATACAGATGAAGTATTAGCAATATTAGCACATGAATTAGGACATTGGAAACACAGTCATGCATTAAAAGGATTTATATTTGGCCAAGTAAATTTTAAAATTTTTATTTATTTTTTTATATTATTTTTTATTTTTTAATTTATAAAAAAATATTTTTATAGCTACATTTATTGATGAATATTTTTCTATATGCAAAACTTATTAATTATAAACCTATATATGAAGCTTTTGGATTCATGGATACTCAACCTACATTTATAGGACTTATTATTGTTACTATGTATATTTCAAATCCTCCAAATGTGGTAAGTTTGATTTATATTTAATAAAAATTCAAAAAGTTTTTGTATAATACAAAATAGTTTGTATAATGCATTCTATTACATAATATACATTATTTTACTTGAAATTTTATTTGAGAATTTTACTTACTAATATAAACTAATATAAAACTTAATTTAAATACTTAAAAAATTTATATATAGAGAATAAAACTTTAAAATTGAAAACTATTTTGTAATTTTGAAATGCAATTTATTTATATTTTATTTATATCAAATAATTCTGTCTAAAATAATATTTATAAAATTTATTATAATTTTTTAGTTATTCCAATTTATAACAGTTATATTTAAAAGAAGATTTGAATTTGAAGCAGATAAATTTGCAAAAAATTTAGGACATGGAGAAGCATTAAAAAGCTCTTTAATTAAGCTACAAAAAGATAATCTTAGTTATCCTCTTTATGATAAATTGTATTCTAGTTGGTATCATAGCCATCCAGAACTCCTTGAAAGACTTGAAGTTATTGATAAAGAAAATTAATTTTAATATTTTTTTATATTACTTTATATTACTATACTACACTATATTACTTTAATATATCATAATACAATAACAATTGTAAAACATTTACATTGTATAGTATAATCATATAATGATTTTATAATTTTCAAATGATATATATAATTAAATAATAATCATAATTAAAAATTAGAATTAAAAATAACAGAATATGTATACTTATGTAATTAATATTCTATAATCAAGATATATATATATATAAATTTAAAATTATTTAATTGTCAAATGAAAATGTTATTTCAAATAATTATAAATAATTATATAAATGTAATTAAAATAATAGTAAATAATTATTAATTTTTTTTAATATAATTTAATTTTTAAGATAATAATTATTTTGATTCTAAATATATTATTAAAGAGAAATGCTTAGATTATAAATATTATTTATTTAAAATATATAGAATTATACTTTTCGTGTATTTTTGATTAAATTTTATTTAATTAAATTTACAATTTGAATATGTTACAATTATGAATTATTTTTTTTTTTTTTAAATAATTATGTATTTCAATTTAATATTGTCATGTTTTTTATATCTAATAACATTGCATATTATAAAATATTTATCTCATAGAATAAAAAGCACATTATTTTTTTATAAATATATTGTGTATTTATATATGTATTGATATATATTAACTTTAAATCTTTATATATAAAGAATTACTATTTTTTTTAATTAGATTATGTATAAAGTTAAAATATATTAAAATGTTATATATAATGTTATGCATAAACTAGTGATATTTAATATAGATATAAAGTTTTCATTAAATTTTATTATTTTTCAGAAAATTAAAGCATTTATGAAATATTATTATAT